AAAGTCAGTCATGACTGATTTCATCCATAGCTGAAAAGAAGCAGATTTCAAACTGTAATACCTAGGTTGCTGTCTTCATGCTGCCATTACTAATGGCTGAAAACACTTAGGGACTTAGGGAGCACACACTACGTAGCAGTTACTGTCCTGGGTGGTTAATGAGTATCACTGACTTAATTCAGATAGCTGCCCTGTGTGGGAACTGCTGCTCTTAGCTCAATTTTATGGATGAGGAAATTAAGGCTCAAGAAAGCTCCGTGGCCCTAAAGGATGCACAGAAGGTAAGCAATAGAATAGGACCCAAAGCCAAGCAGGCTGGCTCGAGAGCCGATATCCTAGATTCAGATCCAAATTTTGGACTGTACTAGTTTTCTGTGGCCGATATGACAAATCATCACAACCTGGCTGGCTTAAAATAACAAAAATAACAGAAGCATCTTTTCTCACACTTGTGGAGAACAGAAATCTGAAATCCAGGTGCTGGCAGGGCCAGTGTCCCTGTGACGGCTCTGCGGGGGAGGGGTACGGTGGGGGTGGGTTGGGGGTAAGGGGTCCTTCATTGCCTCCTCCAGCTCTGGGGGCCCCAGATGCCCCCGGGTTGTGGTCGCCTTAGAGGCTGCTTTTATTTTTATTTTTTAATTTAATTTTTATAATGCTTCATTTTATTTTATTTTTATTTTTTAATTTTTTATTATGTCGTGTTAGTAGAGGCTGCTGTTAGGTCAATGGGCTTGGGTACAGGATGCAGAAAGGGCCACAGAGTCCCCCTGGCTGAAGACAGGCCCATCAGATGGCCCACTTCAAACTATCCGCAGGCTCTAACTGACCAACGGGCTACTTGCAACCAGGCACAGTTCCCAAGAAAGGGAAGATTCCATATGTCGCCAGACCGCCTCCCCTTCCCCCTTTAAAAACGACCCTCACCCAGTGCCTTGTGACAGCCTCTCCTCTGCTGTCCTGCCCACTGTTCCCTTGTGATGTATTCCATAAACTTCTATCCCTTTATTCTGCTTCAGGTGGATTCTTGTCACCACCCGCAACTCCAGTGTCCACCCAATCATCACCTCATATTTAGGGGGCCCCCATCCGATCGAGACCCCTGATTTAGGTACCACAGCCACATTTCCCCAAGGTCTGCTTCTGTCTCCATGTGGCCTTCCCCTCTGCGACCTGCACTGTGTCCTCCCCTCACTGTATAAGGACACCGGTCATTCGATTTAGGGCCCACCTGGTGAGTCCAGGATGGTCTCACTTCCAGATCCTTACGTCTCCTTTTCAGATAATGAATATATACTACTTTGTGAACAAAATGGTAAAGTGCTGCAAGAAGGAAGTCATAGTGAAGATAACTGATTCGGGCTACACTTTTTGGTAACAAAGGGACCCCAGGAGGATAGAACAAAAGCCCAAGACTTATTAATCTCTTACTATGTGCCAGACCCTCTCCTCCATGTGTACAGTTAGGGACTCACCTTGTGAGTAAGGAACTCTTAAAATTCCCATTTTGCAGATGGGAAACTGAAGCTTGCCCAATATCATAGCTGGAAATTGTCAGAACTGGGGGCTGAGCTCAGGCCATCTTGTTGTGCAATTTTACCCATGGAAAGTCATGCTGTGCCACATGGGGAAAGGCAGGAGCATTCCCAGGGAGAAGGGCAACCTGTGAAAAGGAAGGTATCCTGTCCACGTGAGGATAGAGCCAGGAAAAGAAAATCATAAAAGCCAGAGCCTTGAGTGTGACTCATAGGCAGGAGTGTCTCAGGTCAAGAAAAAATTTTAGAGAAAGAGAGGAAAGGCTGCTTTCCCTTTTCTCTTTTAGCCATTTTAACATCTCAATCCTGAAAGCACACTTCTATAATAATGACATTCTATTGTCATTTTCATTATACCCATTTTACAATTGAGCAAACTGAGATTCAAGATTTAAGTGGTGAAACTAAAGCCCCATATAAGGGGAGGAGTGAGGAGTTCAAATTTGGGGCTGATTTCAAAACCCACTCTTCACTTGTATGTCCTGGAACAGGGAGACCAGTGTAAGGACCTATTTAGAAACTGTCCCTGCTCCCCTTCCCCCAGGGGATTTACTTGGAGACAAGTCCCGGAAACCAGCTTCAGGTAACAAAGCCCAGATACAAAGGTGGGTCAGGCCAGGTGGAGACATCCGATCAGTGGGGGGGGATGCATACTGTCTCCCTGGTTACCAAGGAGTATGGGCCCCACCCTTTGGGCGCCAATCCCAATCAAGGTGTAATAGGCTGGTTCAAATGTCTACTAGGGTAAATTGTAACTCAGTTGGTCACCTAGCATCACGGTGGAGTTTCCTGTGTGTGTTACAATCTCATTGGCCACCTGTGCGTGGCCAGGCCCGACCTCATGGCCTTTGCCCTTAAAAGCTAAACTGTGAAACAGAGAAGGGTCGCCCTCTCTTGTAAGAGGTGCGTCCCCAAACGTTCAGTTAGATTCTTGATGCTTGGCACGAAATAAAGCTTTGCTTCACCTTCGCTTTGTATCAGTCTCGCTCCATTAATCATGGACCCATTATTGGGGCATAACACCAGTACTCTAGGGAGAGGAATCCTGAAAGAGGAAGCAGATTTCTACTATGGTCTAGCTCTGGGCAATGGCAGACTGAACAACTGAGGAATTTCTCCTTTAGAATTTACCCCCTCTGCTGGAGAGTTTATTGTTTCCTTCCTTCCTTCCTCCCTTCCTTCCTTCCTTCCTTTCCTTCTTCTTGTCTTTTAAAAAGATTTTATTTATTTGAGAGAGCAAACATGAGCAGGGGGGAGGGCCAGAGAGAGATGGAGAAGCAGACTCCCTGCTGAGCAGGGAGCCCTACTTGGGGCTCTATCCAGGGACTCCAAGATCATGACCCACACCAAAGTCAGATGCTTAACCAACTGAGCCATCCAGGTGAGCGAGGTTGATTTTTAAGTTTTGCAAATGGCATCAGCTGTCTGCATATATTTTGTCTCCTTTCTGGTAGCACCTGAGGTACTTTGAGGGCTTGTGGCTGTTGGTAACTGGTTCCTCAGGGAGTCCCAGGAGATGGAGAGGAGAGGTTGAGCCCAAGACTCCATGCAAAGTGGGGGAGCCTGGTCTGGGGAGCTTCCAGAATTCTGCAAGAAAACTGGGGGCTGTAGGACCAGAGCCACTAGTGTGGAGGCAGTGGCCATATGGATAAGAGTTGTGTTGGGGTTTGACTCCTTTCATTCACCACTCTTCTTGCCCCAGGGCTGTCTGTGCTGCTGCTCTTGCCATTGGGAGCTGCAGCCCTGAACCCTGGAGGTGAGCCTGGCCAGCTGGCTCCATGAGTAATGGAGGGCATGCCAGCCTGGGCTCTGTTCCTTCACTACGAAGGGAGAGCCAGGGAGAAGAGGCTTATTCTGTGAATGAACCTCTTCCTCTTTCTCTGGAGATGAGAAAAACTTTCTTCCTCCTCAAATACCTAAAGTTCCCTGAATTGTTCCTTTTCCAAGAGCAGCTAACCTTCCCCTCCTCCACTCTCTGGTTCCCAGCTGGCAGCTGGCATCCTGCATTCCCTGGGGAATTTGACCACAGTCTCCATCCCCACAGTGTCTGTGGTTGGAGGTGCCCTTCTGACTCCATATTTCTCAGTGCCCCTTCCTGTTGCCGTTATGCTGATTCATATTTCCCTCTGGGGAGATCTTCAGCAATCCCATGATGGGTTGTAAAGATACAGAGGCTTGAGGGTGTTGGAGGGGGACCTCCAAGATTATGGGACATTCAGTCCTCAGTCCTAGGAGCAGCACAGAAGCACTTTGTCAAGGGAATATGGGCCAGAGGAAAAGTGGTGGGGAAGGGGCAGTGCTGGCATGTTGCCAGGGGGATGCAGCGTGAATATCTCTGGCTTGTAACTAGAGGGCTTATAACTTCTGTCCCTCCCTCCCTCTTTTTCTCCCCTAACCCCCTTCTCTCCACATTCAGAGAAAAGATTATATGGGGACACAGGAAGAAAGGTGGCCTTCTACAAGCCAAGAGAGAGCTCTCACCAGAAACCAACCCTGCCATCACCTTGGCCTTAGAACCCAGCCTCCAGAAACAGTTTAAGAAAACAAATTTCTGTGGCTTAAACCTCCTCATTAATAACCTATTACTATGCAGCACTCACAGACTGATACACATGAAAATGGAGAAAACAAAGAAAATGTAAAGAATGCAAACAGAAAATTACCATAATTCTATCACAGACACTAGTGAAATATTTGGAGGTAATTTTTCCTCATCTTTTAAAACATATAAAGAATATTTTCTTTTATCAATGAGTGTGAATGTCAGACTGTGTTGAGTATTGCATGAACAATGAATCTTGGAACACTGAAAAAATAAAATAAGATTAAAAAAAAAAAATACCAGCCAGAGTTTGGGGATGTTGGGGTTGCATGAGGGAGAGCTTGTGGTGATGGGATCTTTATCTGCTTTATTGCAGTGACAGTTACAGGAATCCACATGTGCTATAAAATGTCACAGAACTATGCATGTGCTGTGCTGATGTCAGGTTCTTGGTTTGCATATTTGATTATTGTTACATAAAAATACATAAATACATAAAATGTATCTTTTGCAGGAAGCCAGGGGAAGGTCCTCTAGGTATTGTTTTTGAAATTTACTGTCAATCTCTGTTTACTTCAAAATAAAACTTTAGAAATAAGTCTGTGAGTAGATAATCACTAGATAAAAAATGATCTGTTCAGTCTGAACCATAGACCTCTAGGGGCCAAAACACTAGAGGAATTATCTTCATAGAAAATTATTTGTGAGGTCTTCCTATATCAAAAAGGTAGAAACCGTTGAGGCTTTCAGTAGGAATACTAGAAAGGCTGAGGAAATACTTAAAAAGAGAAGTGTGAGTTTCGGAGATGTTCATGATGGGGAAACACAGGGCAAGGAAGCATCCAGACTAGCTGTTTACCAAGTAGCTCATCTAGATAAGTAAACAGGAAGTCTTTTCAGCACATCCAGACCAAGAGCAGATGGTATCCTCCATAGCTGGGCTCACTGGTGTCTGCACCATGAGGAACGGGCATCTATGGTTGCTGCCAGGTAGGCAGAATTACAACAATGGTGATAGGACAATTAAAGCTACCCAGAAACTATCCAGTTTGAGAATTCTCTCTGCTCTTTGCTTTATTTCTAGCTTTTGCTCTATTTCTTCTTCTTTTTTTTTTTCACTCTGTAAGCATAAACAAGGAAAAAGTTTTAATGCTATTAATTATATTAAATTCTCAAAGAAGAAAGTAGTTGGAACTTATTTCTAGGGCGATTTTTAGAACTTATCAGAGCTTTCTCATTTTCTGGCCTATATGAGACCTGGTTCTCCAGAGAAACAGAACCAAGTTTTGGCATATTACATATTTGTATAAAGATGTGTATATGTATATGTGTATGCGTGTGTGTATAGACAGATGAGAAAAATGTATTAGTTTAAGAAATTGTTTTATGAGATTGTTGAAGTTAGAAAGTCCAAAATCTGTAGGGCAGGCTGGAACCCCATGGATGTTTCCAAGGACATTGATGTTGATCTTAAGTCTGAAGTCAGTCAGAAGCAGAATTCTCTTTCTTGGAGGAGGTCAGTCTTTTTAGCGCTTAAGGTCTTCAACTGATTAGACGAGGCCCACCCAGAGTGTCTGCGTTACTGAGTCTACTGATTTCACTGTTAATCTCATTTAAATAACCACCTTCATAGCAGCATCATGCTTCCCATGAGTGGAATGACAGACTCTGACAGGTAATCAGGTGATTGCCTGTAGGACAGATTCCTTCACACCTGCAGTTGTTTCCATACCATGAAGCCGGTCCAGTGACTCATCACTCAGGACCAGATTAAGAGATAAAGGGAAAGGCTGTGCCCCCAGTACACTGTAGGACAGCCAGGAGCTCACTTTGAAGGAACCAGAGAAGCCATGGATGCTGCACCTGGAGAAGCCACTTAACCAGGAGATGGTGGCTCCAACTGCTAGTGTGATAGTTCCTACCCCTCACCGGTCATCAGCTCCCTGTCTTGTGATGCTAGGGCTCCCTACCCATCCAGTATGACTGTGAGCTGGGACTCAGACTTGGAGTTGGCTGACTCCCAAACCCATGTTCTTCTTGTGTGCCCCAAAACATGTGGGTTAAACAGGGGGAAGTCATCCTGGAGGAGAAATCCTCAAAGTAGATTTCTGCCATTACCAGAGAAAATAAGACCTGGCTATGGGCAGAGCACACCAATCTGTGGACTTTGTACTTCAAGATTTACCCTCTCCATGGTGCCTGGGTGACCCAGTCAGTTAAGCATCTGCCTTCAGCTCAGATCATGGTCCCTGGGTCCTGGGATTGAGCCGTGTCAGGCTCCCTGCTATGTGGGGAGTTTGCTTCTCCCTCTCTCTCTGCCCCTCCCCCAGCTTGTGCTCTCTCTACTCTCTCTAAAATAAATAAATATTTATTAAGAAAGTATTTAACCCCTCCATTGGGAGAGGCTGGAATTTCTGTGTTGTGTCCCTGACATCACCTCTGTATATTCCGTGCCCTTAACTGTAGTTCTGAGGCTCCATGATGGTGCCTGTTAGTGACTGACTCCGCAGGGAGTCTGAGGAGAGGGAGGGAAGAAGACTGGTTCTCTAATCTTCATGAATCTCTAGAGCCTTGGGAGGGCCATGGGCTGCAGGATCAGAGCCACTTCCTAGGATGAAATGGCCCTGAGGACAAGGGTTGAAACTGGAGCTCCATCTCGTTTCTTCATCATATCTCTGTTTTTTTCTGCTCCAGGACTCTTGATGCTGCTGCTGTTGCCATTGAGAGCTGCAGCCCAGAAGACTAGTGGTAAGTCTGCCCAGCCAACCCCACTGGTGACAGAAGCTGGGGAGTGCATGAAAGGGTCTGGGTCCTCAAATGAACAAGGGGAAAAGGGGGGGCATATCTTCAGGTGAGGTTCTGGTCTTCTGGAGATAACAGAGACTATTTCTACATCCCCAAATGTCCAGAACTTTCTGTCCATTCCTCTTTCAATGGCAGCCGTCCCTCTCCTTCCTCCAACTCACCTCCTCTCCCCCAGATGGCTGCTGACTCCATTCATTTCTTGACTCCTCCTTCTGACTATGGTCTCTGTCCCCAAACCTCTGCCTCTACAGATTGTGCTCGCTGGTGCCCTCCAAACTCCACGTGTGTCAATGCCACTGCCTGTCGCTGCTCCCCAGGATTCAGTTCTTCATCTGGGGTGATCTTCACCAGCTTGTTGGAGAGCTGTGATGGTACAGGGGCTTGGGATGGTGGTGGGGCATGGAGCTGGGTGTGGGGGGAGATGTGTTCTCTCTGTGTCTCAGTTTGCTTGTCTGTAAATTGCAGACAATCATTGTACCTACCCCCCATGGATGGAGTAAGATTTAAAATTCATGTGTGTGAAGAACAGGTAAAGACTAGTACAGACCAGACTGTCAAACACAAGCTATTTATCATGGTCACTATTATTATTACTGTGATTATTCTCATAGCACAAGGAAAGGAAGAAGTGGAAGAAACAAGAGAACAATCAACCAGTATCTGGAAGATTAGACTCCATCTAGTGGGAGCTTACTGGGAATAGTTATTCCTGATACCTTTGAAAAGTTAAGAAAAAAAATACCCTAAATTTTCCCGGTAGTTTGTATAGTGGACTTATGGGTGATTTTCTTTATTTTCATTTTTTTTTTATTTTCAGCATAACAGTATTCATTGTTTTTGTACCACACCCAGCGCTCCATGTAATCCGTGCCCTTTACAATACCCACCACCTGGATCCCCCAACCTCCCAACCCCCGCCCCTTCAAAACCCTCAGATTGTTTTTCAGAGTCCATAGTCTCTCATGGTTCACCTCCCCTTCCAATTTCCCTCAACGCCCTTCTCCTCTCCATCTCCCCTTGTCCTCCATGCTATTTGTTATGCTCCACAAATAAGTGAAACCATATGATAATTGACTCTCTCTGCTTGACTTATTTCACTCAGCATAATCTCTTCCAGTCCCGTCCATGTTGCTACAAAAGTTGGGTATTCATCCTTTCTGATGGAGGCATAATACTCCATAGTGTATATGGACCACATCTTCCTTATCCATTCGTTCGTTGAAGGGCATCTTGGTTCTTCCCACAGTTTGGCGACCGTGGCCATTGCTGCTATGAACATTGGGGTACAGATGGCCCTTCTTTTCACTCCATCTGTATCTTTGGGGTAAATACCCAGTAGGGCAATTGCAGGGTCATAAGGAAGTTCTATTTTTAATTTCTTGAGGAATCTCCACACTGTTCTCCAAAGAGGTTGCACCAACTTGCATTCCCACCAACAGTGTAAGAGGGTTCCCCTTTCTCCACAACATCTCCAACACATGTTGTTTCCTGTATTGCTAATTTTGGCCATTCTAACTGGTGTAAGGTGTATCTCAATGCGGTTTTAATTTGAATCTCACTGATGGCTAGTGATGATGAACATTTTTTCATGTGTCTGATAGCCATCTGTATGTCTTCATTGGAGAAGTGTCGGTTCATGTCTTCTTCCCATTTTTTGACATGATTATCTGTTTTGTGTGTGTTGAGTTTCAGGAGTTCTTTATAGATCCTGGATATCAATCTTTTGTCTGTACTGTCATTTGCAAATATCTTCTCCCATTCCGTGGGTTGTCTCTTTGTTTTCTTGACTGTTTCCTTTGCTGTGCAGAAGCTTTTGATTTTGATGAAGTCCCAGAAGTTCATCTTCGCTTTTGTTTCCTTTGCCTTTGGAGACATATCTTGAAAAAAGTTGCTGTGGCTGATATCGATGAGATTACTGTCTATGTTCTCCTCTAGGATTCTGATGGATTCCTGTCTCACGTTGAGGTCTTTTATCCATTTAGAGTTTATCTTTGTGTACGGTGTAAGAGAATGGTCGAGTTTCATTCTTCTACATATAGCTGCCCAGTTTTCCCAGCACCATTTATTGAAGAGACTGTCTTTTTTCCACTGTATATTTTTTCCTGTTTTGTTGAAGATTAACTGACCATAGAGTTGAGGGTCCATATCTGGGCTCTCTACTCTGTTCCACTGGTCTATGTGTCTGTTTTTATGCCAGTACCATGCTGTCTTGGGGATCACAGCTTTGTAGTAAAGCTTGAAATCAGGCAATGTGATACACCCAGTTTTATTTTTGTTGTTCAACATTTCCTTAGCGATCCGGGGTCTCTTCTGGTTCCATACAAATTTCTGGATAATTTGCTCCAGCTCTTTGAAGAATACCGGTGGAATTTTGATTGGAATGGCATTAAAAGTATAGATTGCTCTAGGCAGTAGAGACATTTTAACAATGTTTATTCTTCTGATCCAAGAGCATGGAATGGCCTTCCATCTTTTTGTGTCTTCTTCAATTTCTTTCATGAGTGTTCTGTAGTTCCTTGAGTACAGATCCTTTACCTCTTTGGTTAGGTTTATTCCCAGGTATCTTATGGTTCTTGGTGCTATAGTAAATGGAATCGATTCTCTAATTTCCCTTCCTGTATTTTCATTGTTAGTGTATAAGAAAGCCACTGATTTCTGTACATTGACTTTGCATCCTGCCACTTTACTGAATTGCTGTATGAGTTCTAGTAGTTTGGGGGTGGAGTCTTTTGGGTTTTCCATATAAAGAATCATGTCATCTGCGAAGAGAGAGAGTTTGACTTCTTCATTGCCAATTTGGATACCTTTTATTTCTCTTTGTTGTCTGATTGCTGTTGCTAGGACTTCTAATACTATGTTGAACAAGAGTGGTGAGAGTGGGCATCCTTGTCGTGTTCCTGATCTCAACGGGAAGGCTGCAAGCTTTTTCCCATTGAGGATGATATTTGCTGTGGGTTTTTCATAGATAGATTTGATCAAGTTCAGGAATGTTCCCTCTCTCCCTATACTTTGAAGCGTTTTAATGAGGAACGGATGCTGGATTTTGTCAAATGTTTTTTCTGCATCAATTGAGAGGACCATGGGGTTCTTCCCTCTTTTCTTATTAATTTGTTCTATCACATTGATTGATTTGCGAATGTTGAACCATCCTTGTAGCCCAGGAATGAATCCCACTTGGTCAAGGTGGATAATCTTTTTAATGTGCTGTTGGATCCTGTTTGCTAGGATCTTGTTGAGAATCTTAGCATCCATATTCATCAGTGATATTGGTCTGAAATTCTCCTTTTTGGTAGGGTCTTTGCCTGGTTTGGGGATCAGGGTAATGCTGGCTTCATAGAAAGAGTCTGGAAGTTTTCCTTCTGCTTTCATTTTTTGAAACAGCTTCAGGAGAATAGGTGTTATTTCTTCTTTGAAAGTTTGGTAGAATTCCCCAGGGAATCCGTCAAGTCCTGGGCTCTTGTTTTTTGGGAGGTTTTTGATCACTGCTTCAATCTCGTTACTAGATATCGGTTTATTTAGGTTGTTGATTTCTTCCTGGTTCAATTTTGGGAGTTTATCGTTTTCCAGGAATGCATCCATTTCATCTAGGTTGCTTAGCTTATTGGCATCTAACTGTTGATAATAACTTCTGATGATTGTTTCTACTTCCTTGGTGTTAGTTGTGATCTCTCCCTTTTCATTCATAATTTTATGAATTTGGGCTTTCTCTCTTTTCTTTTGGATTAGTGTGGCCAATGGTTTATCGATCTTATTGATTCTTATTTTCATTTTTTTACATTTTCTTTCTCTTCTAAGTATCCATGTTCCATTTAACATTTGGGGGAAAGTAAATTTTTAAAAAATCTTATTTTATTTAAATTCAATTAATTAACATATGTTGCATTATTAGTTTCAGAGGTAGAGTTCAGTGATTCATCAATTGTATATAACATCCAGTGCTCATTACATCACATACCCTCCTTAATACCCATCACAAATTTACCCCATCCCCACCCTCTCTCCTCCAGCAACCCTCAGTTTGTTTCTTATGATAAAGGGTCTCTTATGATTTGTCTCTCTGATTTTATCTTGTTTTTTCTCTCCCTTCTCCTCTCCTCCTCTGTTTTTTTCTTAACTTCTACATTTGAGTGAAATCATATGATAATTATCTTTCTCTGATTTTATTTTGCTTATTTTGCTTATCATAATGCCCTCAAGTTCCATCCATGTTGTTACAAATGACAAGATTAATTTTTTTGAGATATCTCTATCATCTATCTATCTATATCTGTCATCTATCTATCTCACATCTTTTATTATCCATTCATATGTCAATGGACATCTGGGCTCTTTCCTTATCTTGACTATGGGAGACACTTCTGCTATAAACATTGGGGTACACATGCCCTTTCAGATGACTACATTCATATCTTTGGGGTAGACCTAGTAGTACAATTGTTGGGTTGTAGGGTAGCTCTATTTTCAACTTTTTGAGGCACCTCCATACTATGTTCCAGAGTGGCTGTAGCAGCTTGCATTCCCACCAACAGTATAAGAGAGTTCCTCTTTCTCAGCATCCTTACCAACATTTGTCTTTTCCTGAGTTGTTAATTGTAGCCATTTTGATGGGTGTGAGGTGGTATCTCATTATGGTTTTGATTTGTATTTCCCCGATGCTGAGTCATGTTGAGCATTTTTTTATATGTCTGTTGGCCATTTGTCTTCATTGGAGAAATATCTATTCATGACTTCTGCCCATTTCTTGACTGGATTATTTGTTTTTTTGGGTGTTGAGTTTGATAAGTTCTTTATAGATTTTGGGCACTAACCCTTTATCTGATAAGACATTTGCAAATATCTTCTCCCATTTTGTCAGTTGTCTTTTGGTTTTGTGTACTGTTTCCTTTGCTCTGCAAAAGCTTTTTATCTTGATGAAATCCTAATAATTCATTTTTGCCTTTGTTTACCCCACCTTCAGTGAAGTGTCTAGAAAAAGTTGTTGTGGCAGATGTCAAAAGGTTGTTGCCTGTGTTCTCCTCTAGGATTTTGATGGGTTCCTATCTCACCTTATGTCTTTTATCCATTTTGTGTGTAGTGTCAGAAAGTGGTCCAGTTTCATTCTTCTGAATGTGGCTGTCCAATTTTCCCAACACCATTTGTTGAAGAGACTGTCTTTTTCCCATTGAATATTCTTTACTGCTTTGTCCCATTTCTGGGTTCTTTACTCTGTTCCATTGTTCTATGTGTCTGTTTTTGTGCCAGTACTATAGTGTCTTGATGATTACAGCTTTGTAATATAACCTGAGGTCAGGCATTGTGATGCCTCCAGTTTTGGTTCCCTTTTCAACATTTCTTTGGCTGTTCAGGGACTTTTCTGGTTCAGTATAAGTTT